TTTTTTAAGATAAATATAAATTTTTATAAAAAAAATTGCTATAATTTCTTTTGGTTAGTTTTGTCGAATCTATATACTATACTAACCTATCTTGGATAAAGGGCAACCTACGTACAAAATTTCGTTGAGATATCTCAACAGACAGACAATTTTTCTATATCTATTTCGATTAGGTTTGGTTGTTACAAACAACCGTTATGTGAACAAATTTATAATACCCTTGTGCACAGGTGCGCTCGGGTATAAAAAACAATTATGATTTTTTTGAGTAACAATGAAAAACTGAGGAGTTGCGGTATTTTTTCGCCCAATAAACGTTTTAAGGCTAAAATTATTCAGATACTTCATTTATTTTTAGTTGTACTCCATTGATTTAAATAAAAGCAAGAAATTCTTTAGCGAGAAAAAAACCACTCGTTCTTATGTTCACACAGAATACTACAGAAAATATCTATATGATTTGGTGTCATATACTGCCCCAAATGCACTGTTAAGTAAATCCTTTCATTATTAATAATTACCCTCATAAAATATTACCTGATATTTGGCACATACCTCCTTGCACCTTCTGTATTTTATTTTATTTTTTAGACCACTCCTAAATTCAATTATATTAGCTGACTAATAGAAATTCCCTCCCACACACACAGAGTTTGTGCCACTGTAATGAGTTACAAAATGAACAAGGCCACTCATGGCGAAATTTGGACGTTTCATTGCGAGCAATGAGAATGTAACTACAACAAATGTTGGAGTCGCACTCGAATTGCGTTTGCGAAAAGCGCGTTGAGTTCACGCAGCTAACTATGAGTGCGAATCTTCATAAATAGTAGTGAATACGTTGACGTTGATGATTATGCGTGCGCCATTAGTGAGTGGGTGGTGATTGAGGGGAGTAGGGTTTAGGCGTTTGTTTACATAGTACTCATTTACTTCATTACTATGGCAGCTGTTTCTAGCGTTTCTAACGATTGAGTAACCAAGCAAACTATTCAAGTCGCTGGTGACGACAATGGTAGATAATGTGTACTCAGCTTGCCATTATAATTGCATTTGTATGCTCTGTTTCTAGTGCGTGCATACACATGCATGGTACATCTACATGATTATTTACTTATTTTGACAATTACACCGTACACACCGTAGATACATTTGTGGCATTCCCTTGAGAAAAATTTAAAATAATAAAACATTTTCTACATTCATAATTGGTATGCGTTTAAAACAAAGCCTTCCTTGGAGTTGAATCCTAGTACATACTTAAGAGAGAAGTTTGATAAAGCAGTGACGTTTTGAACAAACGTTATTTTCTTTGGCAAAAAGGATTACATTTCCCTTCCAAATAAAAGTTTCGCAAAATATGCGTTTTTTTTTAAGTAATGACCTCTTTATCCAACCCAAATCTCCTACCTCTGAGCCACTTCTTCAGGTCTATAAACAGAAAAAAAATCGCTAAGAGCTAAAGCTGCAGAATATTCTGGCTAAGGGAATAATTATTTACCTGATTCATGAAATTTTGCCATTGCTACTGGACATGTGTGTATTCGTACATTGCCCTGGTGGAAGAGCACTTTTTTCTTCGTCAAATTTGCTGCACCCAACGCACAGATCGCGCTTTTCTGTACCCAATATTCATGCAAAATGTAATGCATCCAGCCTGTTGAGATACATATATACGGTCCTAGGCACCTCAAGTACTTTCATTCTCAGTTGGATTTATCAACGTTTTCTGGCGTGACTACCTGTTTTGAGCGACCCGAGCGTTCAGAGTCACTTATGTTGGTACAACCGCAGTACAATTTAGTAAACCGCTTCTTAATTAGTGAGATTGATGGTGAAGAGTCCCCACTAGTAGTTCAAAAGGCCACTGACTTATGAAACCGACTTCGCACATTTATAATCCCACATAATTATTTGCCTATCATTACGCCCATTCTACGTGGATCTACCAAAAATTAGAGACGCAAAAAGCTTATTTGTAAATTTCCTTGCAGGGTCTGCTATTGGAACTTTTATTTTAAGTGCGTGCGCACTTGTCACTTTGTATGACGTACATACATACTACCTACGTATGTATGTATAATTGAAACTGACCCATTCGAATGGCTTCCGCGCTTTCGATGTCACCAGCAACCGATATGCAACAATCCTCCCAGTGGGTTGACACTTCGTTGTGCCACCACTATTTACGTAGTATGTATGTGAGTTGATAGATACGTATTATGGCACGCATGAGCCGTCAATTTGGCCATTGCGTCAAATAAGTAAATGCATGCATCCATCTACAATATGTACATACATACATACATATGTATGTATGTATATTTGTATGTACAAAACTGGAAGTCTAGCATTGAGTTTCAAATTTGTTTTTTTTTTTTGTTGTTGTTTGTATGCGTACATATGTATAATACATTTTGTACATTTATGGTCACACTTTTAAAATACCAAATTCGTCGGTAATATCACAGATATGCGTATACATATAAATGCGTATATATGTACATGAATATGTTTGAATATGTTTATTAATACTGGCAGTTTTGTTGCTGTCCATGGCGGCTTTAAATAGCTTTAGTTGGGAGGGTTTGCGATTGGCGGGGTACTTATTGGGGTGACGTTGCACAGTGGCTCAAAATTGGCATTTTGTGTTCACAATTCAAGGGAGCCCTAATTTTTCATTCAATTTGATTAATTTTTAACTTAATGAAAGCTGATAAAATTTTCAAGAGTTCAGTTGAGCCGAAAGCAAATTCTACTACTTAAGTACTAAAATTTAAAGATCTATAAAACTGCATACCCAAAATTTTTCTAGAAACTAAATTTTTTTGTTTAATATTTGCGAACATTTTTAAAAAACAATTACATTTTTTTTTGTGAATTTTTTTTGTCGTTTCGGGAGCACCCTACAATTGTTTTCAACTTGTTTTTATTATGTAACATTTATTAACTGGAACAGGAGATTTTCTTCAAAAGTGCTACTTTTTCTACAATTTGCACTAAAAAATTTAGTACAAACAAATAAAAATTCAAAAATCGGGCTCACATAATTTAAATTAAGTGAAAAATTAAGGCCCCAATCAACACTAAATTCCAGTTTTGAACCACTGTGCTTTGGTGTTCCACCAC